GGCCTTGAATCCATGTGTCTGATATTCAAGTACTTTCAAGAAGCGTGGGAACCCTGGTATGTTTGTATGCTGAGCTCCTTAAAGAGGGCATCTGCTTCTGCTGTTAGCCAAGGAATTGTGGGAAAGATCACAAATTGATATTTTAGACACACTGCTATCCTAAAAGTTAGGCCAAAAATCCATTTGGTGTGGTTATTTCCACACAAATCAAGCCTTGATACAAAAATAGATTCTGCTGCACTACAACCTACAGCTCAACAACAGTTTTGCCATTTTAAATCATGAGAACATGACTATTCTATAAAGAGCAATCCTGTTGTTGGTTTTTTTTGTGAATAGAAAAAGCCTAGAACTATATGATTACAAATAGCTCCAGATCAGCTCTGGCTCCTAACAGACATTTTTCAAAGCACCACGCAGTGCAGTGTATGGTACTGCACAGTTAGGTGGGATGTGGAGAGTGAAATGGGCAGATATCCCAGCATTTCACAATGTCTTATCGCATCTTTTCTCATCCACACGTGCACACACACACACACACTGAAGAAAACTGAATGGGTCACTTACGGTGTAGTGATAAAAATAGATGGTACTTAGAATAGTTATTTTCCTGATGAGTTTTATTCTTTTTTTTGTTCTTTCATCCCTGCAGAAATTTTTTTTATCATGCTATAATGTCATATATTACTGTCCTAAATTTGTTAACCATCTTCAGTAAAACATATTTTGTTCAGTTTGCAGTAACCTTCACAGCCTGAGCTCAAAACAAGGCTTGATTACAAAGATCAATAAGAATCTGCTCACTACATGCTTGTTTAGACTTCTTGCGCTAATGAACAAAATGCTGTACATGTGCGTCTGCGTTGGAGCAAAGAGGGAGGAACTGCAGCAGCACACTGCCGCACTACAGGAGCCACGCCTTAAAAATGGCACACCCCTTTTTCCTGATTGTTTCAAATGCTTTACTTCATCGATTAAAAATGTTCAATCTTTCTGTCCTTGTTTTGATTCTTTAGTAGGTAGAAAGCTAAATACTACCTACTGCCAAACAGGGTCACTGGTTCACAATACAACAACTGGGCTATGTCATAATGCAACACTTTTGAAAACAACTAGACCTCATAACAATGATCCTGAAACATTGACATTTAACCATTACATCACAGGAAAGGGATGATGTCTCTTTATGTTTCAAAAAGCTGGACTACACATAGCCTAATACTACTGCAATAAAGTAAAATGAAAAGACAGAATATACTCACAGTTTGTAAAAATTTTACTGATTTCTTGTGCTAATGATTTCAGCATCTAAATGGAGAGTATTCATCAATTTTCCGATCTTAAATGTGAGAAACAAACAGAGGCCCTGCATTGCGCTATGATGACAATAACAAGGAATACAAACTATCTCTTCCATAATAATCAAACAATTGTCCTAACCAGTCACTACGGTGCCCAGGAGGTGACATGTTCGGTTCACTTAGTTTTGTCGTGGCCACGAGATATTAATTTGAGGGAATGTCACATTAACTCGTGGGATCATGATATTATGTCGTGGCCACGAGATAATTTTGTCGAGGTAACGACATCCTTATATCGTGGCCTCGAGATGCTATGTTGAGGGAACGACATCCATTTCTCGTGGCCACGACTTCTTATGTTGAGGGAACGACATATTTTTCTCGTGGCCACGAGTTTAATGCATAAACAAACCTGCATGACCATAGCAACCCGGGATTATCAGAGATGGATTCATTTAGGGCTGCACGATTAATCGAATGATTAATTAAAACATATTTCATAGTATTCTAATTGAGGCGTATTTGGAGTTTCAGCGCGAGAGCGCCCTCTGGCCTTCGGATGGAGATTTTCTACTGATCACAGAACTGTGCTTCACTGAAAGATACGCATAACAATTGCAGTTTCTGACTAATCACGATTTATCGCCTTTGTGATTTAATTTCGATTAATCGTGCAGCCCTAGATTCATTCATATTTTATTTTGAATTAAGAAATTATTATATTATTTATTATAGAAATTATTACATTATTAAATTATTATATTAACCATAGGCCTTGGCTACCAGACTGTATTGCGCACGATGTAGACGGCATTAGACAGCAGTAGTTTATCATGAATAAATGTTACATAAAGTACATAAAATAAATAAAATAACACACACACAGGCATAAATACAATCATGAAGTCAAAACTTTATTGGCATAATTGTCAGGCGTTTACAGTATTGCAAAATATATGGTAGCAAATACTAGCATAATTATACAAAACGTTAATTAGGTAAAGCGATACACAATAAATATAAAAATATAGCCCTAACCAGTTATTATGATAATAATAATAATATACAAATATTAAATTAAAAGACACAATCAGTTAATGGATTTACAAGACTGTGGTATGGATCAAAATGTTTTATCCATTTCTAGTAATCCCAGGTTGCTATGGTCACGCAGGTTCGTTTAAACTCGTGGCCACGAGAAAAACATGTCGTTCCCTCAAAATAATAAGAGAAATGCATGTCGTATCCTCAACATAGGTTCTCGAGGTTGCGACTTCACATCGTGTGGCCACGACATAAGGATGTCGTTACCTCGACAAAATGATCTTGTGGCCACAACATAATATCACGTTCCCGTGAGTTAATATGTTGTGCCCACGACAAAATTAAGTGAACCGAACATGTCCCCTCCCGGTCACCGTAAGAAAGAAAGTGAAACAACAACATGAGGGGAGTAAATTATGACAAAATGTTTATTTTTAGGTGAGCTGTCCCTTTAAGAAGTCAATGTTTCTCTCTCACCATAATGTTCCTCTCTAGCATCTCCAGCCCTGGAGTGCCGTTAGCCTGTAGCAGTGTGTGTACTACTTTGTCAAGTTTTGATTTCTCTTCAGCTGGAATACAGTACCTGAGGATGAGAGAGACACATTTATTAGGGAACATGCCATTTGGGTTCAATTTAAGCCCAACTCTTTAAACTCTTACCAAATGCAGTCAGCACCAGTGTGTAGGTAATCGATATACGGAAGGCTGTTCTGGTCCCGACACCAGCATGAGGTAGAAAAGACCATGCCTATGTTCAGCCAGGGGATGGTCACTCCTTCATGTGCGATAGTCAGCATTCAAATGAAGTTTATCATGAATAAATGTTACATAAAGTGCATAATATATAATAGGCCTACAAGAAAACATTTTTATCCATCCTAGTCTTGTAAGTCCATTAACTGATCGTCTTTTGTCCATAAGTCAAGTCTAGTCTGTTGTCAATTCTTCCACATGTACAGCATATACACACAGAGAATTTAAATTGCGTTACGCACTGGATAGCTGGCCAATCAGAGCACACCTCGCTTTTCAGACCAATGAGCTTTGCAAAAATCGACACGTTTCAGAAAGGCGGGGCATAGAGGAGAAACAATAATGTACAGTATGTGGAAAATAATATGTTTTTTGAGCCTTAAACCGCATAAACACATTTCATTACACCAAATACACAAAATAATGTTCTTTTTAGCAACATCATATGACCCCTTTAAAAAATAGTTAAAAATACAAAATTGCTATCAAATTAAAGCCATATGTCTACATAAGTTGTGTTCCAAATTTGAAGTTGATATAAAAAAAATTGAGGTTCATATGCAATTTTGTTTAGGCGTTATACCAAAAACAGCCACCGGGTGCCACCCAAACTCCATTGAAATTTGTTTTGATGCATTTCTGTCACAAATCTATCAATTTCTCTCTAAATATTACGTCTATCACAAAATAACCAAATATGGAATCTTGAGACTCAGACCTTTCCAATGATATCCATTTTGTCAAGATTATAAAAAAGTTTTGATTCTAAAAGACCGTAATAAATTTTGTAATATGACACCCCCGCTAAGGGGGAGGAGACCGCTAAAAGTATGTATATATAATCTTTTAAGTCCCCTATTTATTGATACTTTTGTGTTACCAAATTTCGTGCATCCCTTTCAAGTTGGAAAATAATGTGTTTTTTTAACCTTAAACCACATAAACACATTTCATTACACCAAATATACAAAACAATGTTATTTTTATCAACATCATATGACCCCTTTAAAGCAGGTATAAATCTGCACTGTCACTAGAAACATTCTGATATCTACACTTCTATTAGATTAAAAGCAATTCAACAATCTACTGAGGTTTTTTTAATATATATTGTTTTTTACATATAAATCTTAATTTACTCCTGTGCTCATGGTAGGCCTTAACCATGCATTGGAGGGTGGGGTGGTTATCTTCTTCATGCTATGTCTTTGTTAGAAACAACAATTGTCCAGCGTTTTATTCTGAAAGTACAACTGAAACCTGGAGAATAAAACAGTGAGTTCTAGTCAATGCTTTAAAAGGGCACTGACAAAAAACCTGAAAACTATTATGCAAAATAATACACTGAAGGTCCAGTAACATCGAGAGAAGGTCTATCTATCCAGTATTATTGTGCACTTACATTGTTTACTTGCTGAGTTGGAGCTACAACCACTTTTTATTGACAAGTGTATGCTGATCACGGTTGAACAAATGAAAAAATACACAAATGATCAGTGACTGTTTATAATGAAGTGATTCACAAGTCTTAAATATTCACAGCCAATCAGCTCCCATGCTAATTCTAAACGCTTAATTTCATAAATTAATTTGTTTGTGCGTGTTTTCATGAGTAACGGAGACCTTTCAACAGATCATATGTGAGATTCAGCGGCCATGTCCCTAGACCTTGTGAGCTGCCTACCTAGACACCATTCTGGGGTTCATAAATCAAATTACCTCATCCTGATCAAGTTCTGAGAATCGGTGAAATTGAAAGAACATAAACGTAACGTTATCTCGGCTACGTTTAAATCATTACAACAGAGAAAAGAGAGCAAAATAATTAGTTGCTGATCGTTGTGGTTGGCTGTATGAGCGAAGGGAAAAACAATGCGCACGATCATTTGTGTCTTTTAGTACCTTCGTTTCCCGAACATCCTGCTTCGTTCCTTCAGGATACCACTGAACCCGCACGAATCCTCTACCGAGAGGCCATGACCGTGTGTCCGCCGCCCCACTCTCGTTGTCTGAATTACCGGGAGTGCCTCCACCTTCTCCGCCGCCGCCACCACCACCTCCTCCTCCTCCTCTCCCTCCGCCATCACCGCCAATCTCGGAGTCCGAATCTTCGAAATCCTCTTCACCGTGAATCATCCGTACGAGCCCGAAACGCATCGCCCCGCGGTGTTTTCCGTAGACCAGGTCATGCGTAAAAAGGAGCCGCTGTGTTCCGCCTGCTGTAGGAGAGTGCGCGCCTGACGGAGGCTCGGAGCTCGGGCTCACGGCCGGAGAATGCGCTACTGAGGCGAGTTCCGCCATCTCTGCTGCTGAATGATGCGGGAGGAGAGGGATGGAGAAGTGAATAGAAACCTGTGAGCAGGAACGGCACGTGTTTACGTCTGTACGTAGAGCGCCGCATGGAGGACGGGTTTACCTGTTACCAATGTCCTGAATTACATCAGTGTCTCCAATAACAAAGCACTCGTACGTTTATTTGACCAAACTGCATTCATCAGAAAATGTTTTGACGTCGCGTTGTATAGTCTGTATCAGACTAAAAATGACGTCCAAATAAGGGAGTACATATAAGGGACACTGGAAATTGTGTGTGTGTGTCATACAGCGCTCACTGGTTATGTGTTGTATGTTTGTCTATGATAATTCATTCATCTGCTGCTCCACCCAAACACACGATCATATGAGAGATCAGCCACATGGTGTCAGTGTCTGACTACAAATAAAGGCTGCTGTTAAACTTGGATTGTTTGTTACATGTACTTTTGTTAGGAATCAGTCTTGAAGGAAGCTGTTGATGCAGTTATTTTATTATATTGAGATAGCTACTTGATAGCCCACCACATTGACATATTTGAGAAATAAATCTAAAAAATAAACAGGTATAGCTTACCGTTGATAATGCTGTACAACAGTTTTAGAACTCTACAAAAATTTTATTGTATTTTTTAAGGAAAAATCTCTGTAGCGCCACTGTTTCAGACTGCTTTGATCCTGTAGGTTCACATGCAAAGAGGCTTCGTTTGGAACTGTTTGTCTGCAGCGAACAAACAGGCTTTTAATAATTAACTTGCCAGCCCTGCAAACATGTCCTTGTGGGGTGTCCATGCTGGCTTTTTGCGGGCCCACACCAAACCTAAACAGGCCCAGTGCGAGCTTGCCCAGGCGAGGCCCACAGCTTTGGGCTCACCGTAGGCTCTCTGTGAGCGAAGCAGCAAACTTTGCAAAACACAAAATGTATGTCACTGCCAAAACGTATGGCCATGACTGTACACTATGGGACTGCCCACATTAATCCCATGATGGCCCAGTGTGGGCCAGCCCGGTCAGGCCCAGAGCAACTTTTGTATCCTTTGGGCCCATGCAGGTTTTGTGTAGGCAGCCCTGTAATGCAACTAGGAGACTGCAAACAACATCGACTGGCCATTCTTTAGCCACTCAATTGAACTGGAATGGCTCAAACCAAAAGAGACCTTTTCTGAACCTGTTGTTTCATATAGGCCAGGGATCCTCAAATATGGCTCACGAGATCTACTTTTCTGCAGAGTTTAGTTCTAACCTTAATCAAACACACCTGAGCATGTCTTCAGGATCATAAGAAAATCACAGGTGGGTGAGTTTGATCAAAGTTGGAGCTAAATTCTGCAGGAAAGTGGGTCTCACGAGCCATATGTGAGATGTAACAGACATGAGCCTGTTAATAAGAATTTTGTGGGCAGTTTTCTTGCTTACCACTAGGGGTGCTAGGGTGTTTTAGGTTTCTTTAAAGGGGTCATATGACGCGATTTAAATTTTTCCTTTCTCTTTGGAGTGTTACAAGCTCTTGGTGCATAAAGAAGATCTGTAAAGTTGCAAAGACTAAAGTCTCAAATCCAAAGAGATATTCTTTATAAAAGTTAAGAGTCAGCCACACCTACCTAAAACGGCTCGTTCTAACTAAACACATTTCATTACACCACATACACAAAATAATGTTCTTTTTAGCAACATCATATGACCCCTTTAAGTAAAGCCATGTGGTAGAGAGAGTTAGCAATAGGAGGCTATTGCAATAGTTGAAGAATGGTTATATAAATGGGGTTTTAAATTCTCAGTTGACAGAAACTAAAATTGTAGAGCTGGAAAAGAACTGGAAAGTTTTTAGGGATATGGTTTGATGAAAGAGTTACATGGGTGGTGCATATTCAGAATATAGTGAACAAATGTAAGAAAGTAATAAATATAATGAGGTGTTTAGTTGGCAGTGAATGGGGGGCAGATAGGATGGCATTAAAGGCTATGTATAGTGGATTGGTTAGATCTGTGTTAGATTATGGTTGTGTGGTGTATGGATCAGCAGCAGAAACATCTCTTAGAAAGTTAGATAATATACAGCATCAGGTATTGAGATTATGTACAGGAGCTATAAAAACTACACCAATTACAGCACTACAGGTTGAAATGGGGGAAATGTCATTAGAAATGAGAAGGGTACAGTTATCAGTGAATTATTGGGTTAATTTACAAGGCCATAGTCAAGAGCATCCAACACTAGATACTTTAAAGCCCTGTTGGGAAAAAGAGAGGAGGAAAATTAAAAGTTTTGGCTGGACAGTGATACAGAAAGCAACAGAACTTGAAGTTAATCAGTTAAATGTTAGTCCAACTGTACCGCTACCTGTAATAAAACCTTGGTTACTTTCAGATGCTACAGTAGATTTTACATTGTTAGAACAGAAAAATAAGGGTAAGGAATGTAATTTATATAATGTGCAGACATATATTAATGAGTACTACAGCTATGTTCAGATCTACACAGATGCATCAAAGAGTTTAGACAATAAGGTAGGAGTAGCGTTTACTGTTCCAGAACTTCATTTATCAGTAATGAAAAGGATCAGTGATGAGTTATC